AAATTCACCCACTCTATTACTCTTGCTTATCTCTCCCTTTTTTAAAACAATTTTAATAGGTTTCATTATTCATACATGTATATAAAATATTCTCTCCCACTACCACCCTCTCTTTTCACCCTCCCCCTTCCCTCTGACTGAATGGTACTCCTTTGACATTCATGTCATTGTGGGGAAGTTGGCATAGATTCTGCCTATGAGAGAAAGCACATGGTACCTGTCTTTCTGTACAGTAGCCTTTTACTTTATTTATTTTGTCTTTTTTGGAGTACTGGGGTTTGAACTTAGGGCCCCATGTTTGTTAGGCAGGTGCTCTACCACTTGAACCACTCTGTCAGTCTGTACAGAAGCCTTTTAAGCAAGCCCATCATTCCACTTTCTCCACCCCAGCTCCTCTTAAAGCTGCAGTTCTCAAACTTCAAACTGCACCGACGGTGTGATGCTTGTTAGTAGCAGATCTGGAGCAGAGGCTGAGAGAGTCCCCAGGTGCCAGCTGTGTGAGGTCCACTGCTCCTCCCTCTCCAGCACGAGTAGGCCACCATGCTTATCCTGAGCCAAAGTAGCACCTGTTAGCTAAAGGAGCACTGTGTATCATCCTGCTGAAAGAACAGAAAATTGTATTCTGACACTTAAGTTACTGTCAATAAACCAAAGGCTAAAGGGTAATTCACTCATGTAACAAATTTTCTCTAAATTAATGTTTTCACTAAACTTCTCAGAAAAACAGCAATAGGAATAAAGCAGCCTATATCACAATTCAGAAATACAGAGCACATTAATTTAAAATAAAAGAAAGTCGTATTCTGCCTGGAAGCGAGGGAGGGGTGGGAGGAGAGAGAGGGGATGGGGGGGATAGGGGAGAGAAATGGCCCAAACAATGTATGCACATGTGAATAAATGAAGAAAAAAAAATCTTAAAAAAAAAAGAAAGTTGTAATTCTTTCATTTGATAAATGTTCACTAGCAGCCCAATGGTGTTGCTGCTCCTCTCCCGACTGTCCCTGCTTCTTGGTGTTCCTCTAAAGCCCACAATATTTCAGGTCCTTTGCCCAGAACTTAGCATTGCATATAAGGCCTACCCGGCATCATGCATTTTGTAATAGACTTTCCTTTTTAGAATAGTTTTGTGTTCTGATAAAATAAAATGAAGTTCAGAGATTTCCCACGTATCCTATGCCTACGCATGGAGCCTCTCCCACGATCACTGCCTCACAGACAGTTCCTTTCTTACAAAGATAAACCTACACTTACGTCATTATGATCCAGAATTCATAATTTTCATTAGCCTCTCTCTCTCTCTCTCTCTCTCTCTCTCTCTCTCTCTCTCTCTCTCTCTCTCTCTCTCAGCAGGTGCTCTACTGCTTGAGCCGTACCTCCAGCCCTTTTTTACTCTGGTTATTTCTGGAGCTAGGTCTCATTCTTTTTGCTCAAGCCAGCCTGGACTACAGTCTTCCTATTTTATACTTCCCGCCATTGCTGGGAAGACAGGTGTGTACCACTACTCCCAGCTTTTATCCACTGAGATGGGGTCTTGTGAACTGTTCTCTTCCAACCCCCACCCCAACAGGCCTAGAACCCCAATCCTCTGGATCTCAGCCTCCCATGTAACTTGGGATGAGGTTCACTCTTGGCATTCTCCATTCTATAAATTTTGACAAATGTACAATGACATTTATCCCCCATTAGAATATCATGCAGAGTAATTTTGCTACTTTAAAAATGGTCTGTGCACCACCTACTCATACCTCCCACAACTCTTCGCAACCATTGATCTCCACACTTATGCCTTTGGGGTGGTTTGTTACGTAGTGTTAGGGCAGCAACAGGCACAAGTGCCTATCCTCTTAAATTTTTTCACAATACATCCCCAATCTAGAAATTAATTTTAGGAGTAACCTAATCTCCAAGTCCATTCACACCTTCTCCTATTAACCAGTCATTCCTCATCCCACACATTCATTTCATTCCTTTTTCCTTTCATTTTCTTTTGTCATTTTATTTTCAAGTGGTGATGCCATAAACCCACACATCTGAGAGCAAGAAGATACATACAATCATTGTATAGCAGCAAAGGATGAAAGTGTGCCATGTACATCAGCAGGAGAGTGAGCAAACCATGACTGAGCCATAAAATGGAATAGCAAACAGCAGTTAAAATTAATGAATGAGCGGATCCTACGATAGCTAGAGTTGGACAGAAACTGCAAGTGGCAGACTATACATTATGGTGCCATTTAAAGTTTTAAAACTTGCTAAACAGCATTATGTAATATTTAGGGATATGTCAATATTTGAAAACTAGTATAACATCAAGTATAAGAATAACCACAATGAATTTATTGATGAGCTGCCTCTGGGGAGAGAAAGTGAAGCAGAGAGGAGGAGGGAGAGAGAGAGATTGAAATCAGACAGGACACACAAGGAAAACCAATTGTATCTGCATGTCTTAAAAACCATCTTGAGAAAGTTTCAAAATGAATACAGCGTAATGTTTAAGATGTGATATAACTGTGTGGTTGATACATACAGGTAACTGATATTAGTATTTATTCTTGCAATATCTTTACAAAAAATATTTTACAATCAATTCTCTTTGGCTGGACTGGGGTGTGAACTCAGGGCTTCACACTTGCTAGGCAGGCACGGTTACCACTTGAGCCTCACCCCATCCTTTTTTGTTTTAGCCCTTTTTCGGATGGGGTCTCACATTTTTTCCCTGGCTAGCCTGGATCATGAACCTCCTACTTAAACCTGCCCATGGCTGGGACCACATAAATGTACCACCTTGAGGGCTTGTTGGTCAAGATGGGTTCTCACAAACTTTTTGCCCTGCCTGGCATCAAAGACAATCCTCCCTATCTCCGCCTTTTAAGCTACTGGGATTATATATGTTAGCCCCTGTGTCTGGTCACAATTTAAAAAAATTTAATAGCCATGCTTTCAAGCAGGGGCTATGGGAGGTGTTGTGGACTGCTCTCACTTCTCCATTCCCTAATTTGGTCTAATTTGAACAAAGCCCAGAATTTCCTCACCTGAGAGAGCACCTGCATGTTCCGTCTTGAACTCCATCTTTTGCTCTTGCCCTCGGGGCTCTAGTTATGCTTCACTTTTGAACTCCAAATGGCTCTCTACACTCTCCCTATAGGATTGTCATTTTTCCCTCTTCTGATTTTTTTTTTTTTTTTGAGACAGCCCAGTCAGGCCTGGAACTTGATATCTCTCTGCCTCAGCCTCCAGAAATTACAGGCTCCATCACCACCAGGTGAACTTGCAGGAAGTGTTTTTTTAGAATACGTATCCCACCAGTCACACACTAAGGGGAGACCACTCACAGGAGGGGTGGAACAGGGGAAGGAAACCAAAAACTGGAATGTGGCTGATGTGCTCACTGTAGAGGAGGGAATAAAGTAATCTTAAACTGACAGAGGCCACTATGGGAAGGGGACTAGGGAGTAGTGAAGAGGTCTGGTAGAGATGAACCAATGTGGGCTGTAATACACATGTGCATCGAAACAACACAAGGAATCTCCTTGTATAGTTATCTTCATCTCAAACTGCCAAAAACTCTATGTTTTTCTCTTTATCGTACATATTTTTTTCTTCAAAAAATCGGAGAACAAGAGGGTGGAACAGGTTCTGCAGGTGGGAGGGGGGAAGGTGGCCCAAATAATGTATACACATGTAAGTAAATGTAAAATTTGATAAAATAAAATTTTAAAGAAATAGAACACATATCCCAAGTCTGCCTCTTTCAAAAACTTTCTGTAATTACCAATTAACTTCTAAATTACGCCCTAACACAGGAAACGTGTCATTCTTGACTTAGTCTAGTCCTGCCCAGGGGTGGGGTAACAGGACTGAGCACAGCACTGGTGACTCCCAGCTACCATTCCTTTTATTTCACTTACGTGGCCTTTGGCTAAGCCTCTGTTTCCTCTTCTGCAAATTCTAATCAAAACAGCACGTCCTTGAGTTGCTCGAAGATTTTAAAAAGTTCATATAATCAAACACTCTTGCAATGCCTGCTATCCAATAAAGGGCAGCTTTTATTACTTTCTACTACATTCTTGCTCACAATGGCCTGAATATAGCAGGCTTTTACTTTTTAGCCTTCCTGATTAGTTTTGTGGTTCCAAATGCCCACAACACCCTCCCAACCTTATTCTTTCTCCAAGTCTGTTTCTAATATTCACACTAGTGAGTCAATAAGCTTAGCAGAGGGACGACTAAAATACTCAGGTTCAAAATATCTAGCTCTGCCATTACTTTCTGTGCGACTTTGCTTCACTTACCTAACCTCCCTGATCTCAATTTCTCACTTGTAAAATGGAGGGGTGGGGGGAGAAATGATCCAAACATTGTATGCATATATGAATAAAAGAAAAAATAAAATACTTTTCTCATTTATGGCTCTTTGTTATATTCTGTATTGTTAATTCAATCCTGTACAGCTGAGTTTTTATTCTCCTTTTCCTGAGAGTTTTATACATATTGTTTTCCTGAGTAATGGTGATTTGTTCTAATCAGAGATAGTGAAATATACCTGTTTTCAATAAATTCTGGTTTTATGTTTTGGGAAAAAAAATAGAGATTATAACAGCATCTACCTTACAGAGTTGCTGTCGTAGATTTAAAAGGACGCAGATGTGAAGAATTTAGAACAGTGCCTGTCCTAAAGCAAATACTGCATAAATGTCACTGTTACTCGTGTTCTGCAGCGGCCACCTGTGTCGGGGTGAATTCCCCGGAGGTGGGAACGGTCTAATCTCTGAATCCACAGTGCCTAGAGCTGTGGAATCAATGTGGAGAAACGGAAAGCGAGGACGACTGTCGGAGCGAGGACGGGGAGAGGCAGGCGGGGAAGCCTGGTGGGCCTAGAGCGAGGCGGAGCGGCGCGGCCTGGCTGTCCCCGCGGGCGGCGATCGCGCGGGCGGGGAGGGGACCGAGGAGGGCCGGGAGGAAGGGGTGCGGCGGGAGGAAGGGGTGCGGCGGGAGGAAGGGGTGCGGCGGGAAGGAGCGCGGGGCCGAGCGGAGCGCGCACCTTCGCCAGCAGCTCTCTGCACCCGGCTCCCTTCGGCGGTCCCAGGTAAGTGACCGTCCCCACCGCCCAGGTGGGCGCTGCTCCGTCCTGGTCAGAGCACCAACCACCCCCACCTGCGCGGGTGCGGGGACAAAAGTGCCATCCACGCCTGGCAGGTCACCAGCTAGGGTCCCGGCGGGGCCACGCAAGACACCGAGCTGTCCCAACTCCCAGGACGCTTCGCTTTCTTCCATCACCCCTCGGGCATCCATCCCGTTAACCAGGTCGGCCTCCCGTTCCTAAAGGTCATGGAACAGAAAAAAAAAAAACGGGGAGTCCGGCCTCTGCGTGGGGCTGGCTCAGCTCTGTTTTGCGTACTTGGAACCCCACCCATTGTGTGCACGCTCTCACGTAGGCAATTTATTTTATTTTCCATTTTTTGGGGGGTGGGGGTGAGGGTGGGATGGGAGAGTGGATTAGGATATTGGGCGTTGGAAGTTTGAGGAAGTTTGCTTTTCCCCGAAGACTCACCGTTTTCTTTGATTGCAACAGAGTCGGATTCACTAGACAAGAATCTTCCCCCTTGCGTTTGAGTCAGCAGGTGGGGTTGGGGTATTTGGTGGCCATAGATAGGGAATTGTAGTTTCACCTGGGCCGCGAGGTGCTGGGTTATGGTCACAGGAGGCCCCCTGGCCATTGGCTGATAAGGAGTTGCACAGCCGAGCTTTAATTCTTTAAGGATTTATGTCTACTCCGGCCACAGGGCTCTGCCTGAAGACCTACAGCTCCTACTCTTCATCCACGTCTTAAAAATGCACTGATTAAACGCTATTCTGTGAAGATACTGCCTCTGGTTTTGACGAAGGCAGAAAACTTCAGAATGACCAGGAAGGGAATTTAAGAACGTAAAGAAAACCAGTCCCTTGTTCCCACCGTTGTTTGGTCGTTGAGAAATCTGTTTAGAAATAATGGCGGAGGAAGGAAATTATGCAGCCTCTGTAATCCCTTCCAGGAAGGATGTGTTTAAAATAGTATTGTTAGGTCGTTTGCCCTCCAGTGCACAGTAATTCTTTACTTATTAAGAGTCAAAAGGTACATCAGTAATAATTCTTAATAGTTCACAAATTACGCTAGAGAAATACTGAGAGTTCGTTTTTGGCCAGGTACGGGCCAGAGACTTGGGTTCCACAGAGCATCAGGTTCAGTTCACACCTTTGAGGTCTAGCTGCCTGGATTCAGGGGGATCCACTCACTATGTGTCTGTACAATTTTGTCAGACCTCTTTGTGCTCCTAGATTCTTCATATGCAAAATGGAGATGTTATCAGTGATAGCTAACTTAGGCTAAATCTTTCATTCAATAAGTGGTTTTTTTCTGCTACAGTGAACACACATGGTAAAAAGCCTGAGCCCTGTGGAATTGACCTTCTGATACTTTTGATATATAAGAACACAAGGTGTTGGCTGATATTGTTGTACATATTATCTCATTCCATGCTAGCAAGAGCTCTCTCTCCTTTGTACAGATGAGGAAATTGAGACTCTAAGATTGTGTCTAGCTTTAAGAGGTGTGTTAGTCAACTTTTTGTTGCTATGTCAAAATGTCTGAGAGAAACAATTTAAAAGGAGAAAAGGTTTATTTTGGCTCCTGGTTTCATTACAGTTATGTAACAATGGAGCTCATTTGTGCATGGCAGAATATCATGGTGGCAGGACCAGGTAGCAGAGGAGGCTGCTTATCTCATGGCAGCCAGGAAGCAGGGGAGAAGGGAAGGGTCAGGGGACAAGATATAGCCTCTAAGAGTGTGCCCCTAAGTACTCACTCCCTTCAACTGTGAAGCACCTCGTAAATTTCCATCACCTCCCAATAGCCAATCAAATTCTGAATCCACCAATGGATTCATCCAGTGATGAGGTCAGAGCCCTCATGTCCAATCTCTTCCCATAAGTCCACCTCTGAACATAGCTGCATTCAGGACCAAACCTTCAACAAATGAGCCTTTGGGGGCCACTGCAAATCCAAACCACAAGACACGAAACCAGAACTAGTAATATTAGTATCCACTGTACAGCCTGAATGTAGGGTTAGATTCTATAACTGAGAGCCACCTGCCCTAGCCTAGAGAGGGCCTGAGAAACCCAGGACTAAATAGTTCCAGGGACTCATGATTTCCTGTTGAACTTTGCTCTGAGGCTAGCATTGAATTTTTGGAATATTTATTCCCAGGATGGATGGGAGCCTCTTGCATTTCTAAATCAATTCTAGACACACCTGCTGGCTTGATGAATAATGTCTACTTATGACAAATGTGCCTGCCTTCCCAAAGAATTGGCCCTTTTACCTTCACAGCTTCCTGGGATGGGATTGGACTCCTTGGAGAGCAGGTGGTCTGTTTATTACAGGCGGTGGCCTCAGAATCTTGCAAAAATGTATAGAGGACTCGCTATCAATAAGGAATCAAACTGAAGGCAGCTCAGATTTGTGTTGATTTGATGGGGAAGAGCAGTTGTCTGTGTTTTCTTTTTTTTCCAAATTGTCATTATTGGCAGTCTGTCCTGGTTAAAACAAGTCAGGAATATATATAGTTCTTCTGGATTTTTTTTTTCTTTTTGAGACAGTATCTTGCTATGTTGGCTAGGTTGACTTCAAACTCCTGGCTCAAGCAATCCTACATCAGCTTCCTGAGTAGTGGGGACTATAATTGTGTATGCAACACTTGGTGAATGGATTTTAAATAGGTTCTCCAGGAAGCGTATTTGTAAGCCTCTTACCTGTAGAAGTTGTTTTTCTCCTTGTTGTGGAGCCCTTGCAGCTCCTTGTATATGGTAGACTCCCAGTAACTAGTAAATGGGATTTCTGATATTCAATATGCAGCCTCCTCCTGAGGTTTTTCTTTGAATGTTGACTTGTGTTTTCCAGATTAAAGAGTAAGAGCTAGACTGAGAACATTGTGTTTGGAATCACAAATTAAATAAGATTTAGTAATTCTTTTTCGTTTAATAGGTTAGTGTGACCTTAACTCAAGGAAAAAGTGGGATATCATGGCATCTATCTGGGTAAGTAAAAATCAAGCCTCACAACACAGTAACTTATTTGAGTCAAGGAAAAATACAGAAAATCAAAATATCAGAATTTTTTGTTGGTACTGGGATTTTAGGGAAAAGTAAATCTGTATTCCTTCCCCCCTTCTTACATTAAAATAAATTTCAAATGGATAAAATGCTGAAATGAATGAGAACAAATGTAAGTAGACTTCCTTTTCTTTTTCTTCTTTGGCAGTACTGGAGTTTGAGCTCAGGGCCTCATGGTTGCCAGGCACATGCTCTACCACTTGAGCCACTGCACCAGTCCTTTTGTGTGTAGCTGTTTTTCAAACAGGGTCTCAAGTTTTTATCCAATGCTGTTCTTGAACTGTGATCCTCCTCCCTATGTCCCCCTCATAGCTGGGTCACAGATACTATGTCCAGCTCATTTGTTGAAATGAGATCTTCTTAACTCCCCTCCTTCCCCTGCTGGCCTTGAACTGCAAACCTCCCAATCTCTGCCTCCCAAGTAGCTGAGATTACAGGTGTACACCACGAAGCCTGGTCCTCACTTTAAAAAAATAATCTTGGAGTAAGGAAGGCAATCCAAACTATAACCTTAAACTAAAAACTTAAAGAAAACCATTGATCTGTTTAACTATACATAAATTTACAATTGTCACAGCAAACAATACATAAATGGAAGACAATGTACAGGGGGAAAATATTCGTAGAACATCAGATAAAAGGCTTATTTCCTTAATTTATAAGCAATTTGAATTAATCAATTTTGAAAATGAAATCAATGGAAAAATTTGCAAGGGACATAAATAGGACATAAAAAGAATGTGAATATTCTATAAACATAGGAAAAGATACTGTATCTTACTGCAAATTAAAGAAATGTAGATAATACAGTGAGAAACCATTTCTACCTAAGAAATGGCAAAGGTGTAAAAAAGGTAGTAAGACCAACATTCTGAAGGACGTGGGTGAGACAAGCGCTCATGGCAGAATTGGGTCAGTGTCTCCCACTGTCTAAATGCATGTGTCATTTAACTCAGCAGTTTCACTTCTGAATATGAATGATATAGATAAGCTCGTGTAAGGTTGAAGAAATAGGGTCTGAGGATATTTGTTTGTATTATTGAAAATGTGCACACAGTACCCATAAGGTACAAATTAGTAAATTACTCATTCTTAATTTATAGCCATTTTAATGTGATCATAAAGAAAAATGGGACAAAAGGGACTCACTCAGCTGTATGTACATTAGAAAATGTACCACAATACATTAACCAATGAAAAAAATCATGTTACAGGGCCAGTGGAGTGGTTCAAGTACCTAGCAAGCATGAGGCCCTGAGTTCAAATACCCAGTACCACCAAAAAAACCCCCCACAATTCAAGGCCAACCTGGGCTACATGGAAAGACCCTGTCTTTTGAGATGTGGCTGGGACATAGCTCAAGCAGTAGATCACTTATCTAACATGCGTGAAGCCCTAGATTCAATCCCCAGTACCACCACCCCTACCCCCTGCCAAAAGAAAAAAGAAAACTCTCTGTCTTAAGAATCCTAAAGAACAATATGTGCAGAACAATTCAGTTTAAAAGAAAGAAAACAGAAGATATAGAAAGACTGAATTACATGAAAACGTTCTAGGAAGGTGGGACTGTAAGCAAGTGCTCTTTCACTTTTCAGTGTTCCACCTTCTGTACTCTGTTTCTTCAAAGCCTGAACATGTAGGATATTTTATAAGTAGGGAGCTGGGAAAGTATAAAAAAAGCATGTTGGGCGTGGGCAGTGCCTGGGCGGTGTACCAGTGCAGGTGTACCAGTGCAAGGCGTCCCTGGGCCCACATTATTCCTGTACCCCTGCTGGCTGGAAAGCTAATCTGGACTCTGACCAGATCTGAAGGCCCTGCTGCTTTTATGGGCCTCTTGCAGGGTCAGATGGAAAGAAGAATTGGCATGGAATTAGTTGCTTAGGTTCTTTAGCTCACACCTTCTAAGAACTGAGGAGGTCCCGGTGAGGGTGACAGAGGCTGTGTTAGTTTACTGTTGAAGCCATAGCAAATCATCACAAATAAACCTGTCCAAAAAATACAAATATAGTATGATTCCATGTAAATAAGATATCTAAAGTGCTCAAATCCATAGAAACAGAAAGCAAGATTGTGGTTGTCGGGGGTCAAGGGCAGAAAATAGGACATTATTAATAAGTCAGTGCAGAGTTTCAGTTCTAAAAATGAAAAAGTTCTGGTGATCTCTTTCTGAACAGCGTGGAATAACTCATACTGAGTTACACACTTAAAAATGGCTAAGATTTAACAAAAACTCAGATAGCCAGTTGTGAATATTCTTATCTTTAACTTCTATTCATGAAGCAAGTGCCCGGCATCTGGCACACATAGAGACCAATGCTAGGGCCCCAGGTTTTTGGAAAAAGAAAAAGCTTGATTGTACAGTCGACTGGTATAGAAGCCACAAAGTACAAGGGGCTCAAATCTGCTCCCCATCAGCTGGTATGTGTAGTGGGGAAATTTGTAGGAAGGGGAGGGGAGAAGCTGCTTGTTGATTGGATGGCTAGAAGGAGGATGATTTAGGGTTCATTGGCACAGGCATAAATGGTTATCCTGCTGCTTCAATAGGTCACAGATTTCTCTCAGAGGGAGTTATCCTGTTCTGCACAGGGGATTTTGAGCTCGTGGCATCTAAAGGTCACTGACTGCTTCTGTGTATGTCCATTTTTGAAAAGCTGGTTCCTAATCATCTGTGAGTGGATTCCAGAGGTTTTTCCTGAAAGACAACCTCAGAACTTTGTTATTTAAGGAATTTGTGTCCAAGTTTGTCCAGGCCTCAACTGATTTCAGTTCCCTCTGTCCCTTTTGCTTTCTCACACAAAAGCGCACACACACCCAACCACAAATAAGCAATAGAGACACCCGCTGCTACAAATCCGAAGGTCAGTTAGAGGTTACCAGCTTGTAGTTAGTTCATGGGAAATACTATAAACAGGGAGAAGACGTCAGTTGCAATTTCCAACATTACTGCTGAAGATGAAAGGATGGCTGGTTTCTCCGGCCGGCTATTCTATCAAGGGGAGTTGTACCCAACCATTGTTTCAGATAAATAAACAGTCTGCGTGGTGTAAGTATTTCCTTTCTGAAATTTCCTTGTGGAAGACCTGATATTTGGTGGGTCTGTATTTGTTGGACTCAGGGTTTCTTGTCATATTCTGCCTTTAGGTTTGTAGCAAGCATTTAGGAAGCTCTCAAATTAGAATATCTTAGAACAAAACTTTTCATTAAGAAACTACAGCAGGATTTTTTTCTATGTGTGTTCTGAACTGTGCTGATACCATGTAATATTCTGAGTTGTTTCCTCCTTGGTTATTTCCTAACTTACATCTATAGAATAATAATAATAAATGTAACTCCCATTTGCCTGAACTCTCAATCTTTACATGCTAATAGAAATTCTCTAGTCGTTTCTAATCATTATCATTGTGATCCACATGAACTATTACTAATGATCTAACTTGCTGTGCATTCCCCCTCCCCATTCGAAACTCCACTTTACAAAATGTGGAGCCATTCTGGAACCAAAGGATAAAATGCAGTTTCACAAAAACACAGTGCCGCTAACTGTGTCTGGGAGTCATCTAAAGCATAGATCAACAAAGCAGCCAGTACCTAGTGCAATGGGCTCTAGTGAGGGCAAAACAATGACAGTCCAGTTACAATCCCAATTTTCCCTTCTATAACTCCCTAGTTGATTAAAAGGCAAACTTACTTTTTTTTTTTTTGGTCGTATTGGTGTTTGAACTTAGGGCCTCATGCATGCTAGGCCGACACTCTACCACTTGAGCCACTCCCCCATCCCATATATCAAACTTTTGCATATTACCTTGAGCAAATTGCTTAGTCTCCTTTACCTTAGTTTCCGAATCTATAAAATGGTAGTAGTGCCTTTATCATCTGTTGTTTGTAAGCATTAAACTAGTTTGTATAAATACATAAATAGTGACTGCAAAAGCCTGAGCATTCAGTAAATTTTAGTTGGAATCATTATCATTTCATATATTAATTTTATTCTAAAAGCATTCCTTGTTTAATAATATCCCTGCAACTGTTTTTAATAAAGGAGCCTGTTTTCTAGGCTTGATTTTATTTCAAATCAATAATAGGGTCTCCTCCCCATTAGAATGGTTCTCTCTGAGCCATCTCAAACAGATGGATGGTCGGTCTCCAGATAGATTCTTTCTATCAGGCCATAAATTTGGAGGGGAGGGGTCCATGATCCCCTCAAATTCAAAATTCACTAGCCTGGCTCAGAGAACTCACGGAGCGTGTTCTACTTGCAACTGCAGATTTATTGTGAGGACTGCACACGGGGCAAGACCTGGACAGGGACTGGCTCATAGAGCTTCCATGCTCTATCCCCATGGAGTCAGAGAATGTCACGCTGACTGCACATCAGTGTCTTTACCAACCAGGGGTCACCTCTGTGTCTCAATGTCCAGAGTTTTAATCTGAGTTCCACTGTGTAGACATGATTGATTAGATTATTTGCTATACTACCAAGTTCAATACCCAGTCTTCTTTTCCCTTCCAGATCAGTCTAACCCCAAACCCTAGCACAATGATCACATGGTTGGTCTTTCTTGTGATCAGCCCTTATCCTAAAGCTAAGGGCCTGCTGTGAGTCACCTCAGTAACAGAACAAAGATACTCCTATCATTCAGGAAAATTCTCAGGATTTTTGAAACTGTGCCAAGAACCAGAACAAAGACCAGATATCATCCTTATTATACCACACATACTTAACTCATCCCAAACATCATATTCCTTTATTTTTTATGAAAATTATGTTGATACTAATGGCCATTTTAATGCTGATCATAAGCTCTGATCATTAGTTACATCTTTAATAATGAGGAGAAATGGGAAAGCTCATGTTTTATAATAAAGACTGGCAGACAGCATCATTTGAAAACATGGCACCCATGTAGAAGACATAAGAAAGGTAT